GCATAAAACTAAAGTCAGGATTGTTGATGACGCCCGCCAGTGGCTCAGCAGTATGTCTGCGGACTTACAACGCTAGAAACTGGGTTTCGATACCCGTGGTGGGCAAAACACGGATAGCTCATTGTGTAGCTTTGTGCTTAACTACAAACAAACAATCGTTGATGCAACTAACAAGATATCAGAATTTTAGGCTTAGATTTCAGAATGCGAGGTATATATAAAATAAACACTAACAATTAGCTGTATATATATCTTGGGTTATCTTAGGTGTCGTTTCTGTTCATGTTGTACCTTTCTTATATGTGTGTAAAGACTTTGTTTCTGTTTTTTTGTGTTTATTAATTTATCTGTTAAATATTTAATTTTAGCTAATTTTGAGTTTTATGTAGACAGCCCGAAATCGATTTTTTCGAGGCTTTCGCTTTTTTACATACTGTATGAAAATATTTTTTCGGCTTTTCTCAAAATTCTCTGTCTAGGATCTACTTTATTTTGTATTATATGAATTATTTCAATGTTCCCTTAAACTTTACTATCCGTCGGTAGAGGGATACGTTTAAGGTACTCAGAACGAATCAGTGCTAGATTAGAGTCGGGAAGGGGAGACGTCGTTTAACTAAATTTACTGGCAAGGGATGAAATTAACGAGAATTGAGTTATCATTTCTAGTGTTTTACGGTGTTTATCAGATATACGTCGACTTCATTTTCTTTTTATAATGGGAGGTGTTTTGTCAGTTAAAACAGAAAATATCTTAAGGTGGCACTCATTAGAGGGCACACCTCCACCACGCAACGTTGATCATATTCGGCCCTAAAAAAACAAACTTGTCCGTATGTACGTCGTTATCAACGGACATGGACCATTTTTGACAGGACAATGAGGAATAATATTCTACATATGTCCATCAAGCTTCATTAAAATCTGATCATTTTTGACTGAGCTATAGCGCAATCTTGTGTGAAAAAACAGATACGGATTTTTTTTTCATGACCTTGCTGTGACCTTGACCCTAAAAAAAATCACTTCTAAGTTAGATCGTAGTCCAAGTGAATACCAACTTTCGTTCAAATCCATTCAGCCATTTTCGAGAAATCTTGCTGACAAACAAATACACACATATATACAAAATCACACAGGGGTGAAAACATAACCTACGTCTGAGGTAAAACGCCTCAAGTATGTGTTACGACGAGAACTAAACAAGTTATGTTGAAATAAATATTTATCCTGGTTTTAAAAATTAACTGATGTTTTTGTGTACGTTGTAGATATACGTATGTAAATCTGTTTTTAATAACTATTTTGAACCTTATTAAATAGTAAGGATAAGTTTAAATACCAGTAAGCTATGTACTGTACTTAAAGCGAAACTAAAGATCAACCTGGTCATCAGTGTAGCTAATTAAATATACTTTCTTGCGTTTTAATTATAAAGATTAGAATAGTATCATTTGAATCCTGCAGTTTAAGCATCGTATCACACTGTATCGAACTGGCAAGGAATATGTAGGTGTGAACAGACACAGAACTGGCTAGGATTATCTAGGTGTGAACAGACTCCGAATTGGCAAGGAATATCTCGGTGTGAATAAACACCGAACTGGCTAGCAATATCTAGGTGTGAACAAACACCGAACTAGCTAGATGTGAATGAATAGACAACGAACTGGTTAGGAAAGGCTGAAAAGGCGAGCATGTTTGATGTGACGGGGATTCGAACCCGCGACCCTCAGATTGCGAGTCGAGCGCCCTAACCACCCGGTCATGTCGGGCCATCAAAAGATATAAAAATTTATTAAATGGTCAGTTTTTAATTAAAAACTACAACAAAAAACAGCTTATGGGATCAACTATTAATTAATAAATCTGATTAAGTCATTTTTTATCCATCGGTGGTTCCGGTAAGTTTACGGACTTACAACGCTAAAATCCGGTCGTTGATTCCAATTATGTAAATTTGCACTAAAACAACAACAAAAAAGTAATTTTCTACCTTAGCAATAAAACCCTGATTATGATAACTTTTGTAAAAACAGCGATAAGAACAAGTTGTAGATACTTAATGGTTCTAATGAGATTTACTGGTAATTAAAACGATTGTTATTCGTATACATTGTTTCTCCTTTTTGTAATTTTATGAAATCATTTTGAGTAACAATAATACAAGTGATTATCTTTCTTCAACAACAAACCAGCAATACTCAACAATTTATTGAACATTGTTTTTTTATTTCGTGTACAAACCTTAGATAATTTGCAACAATAAAATTATGTAAGGCACTTTTATATAAATTGTCACCCATAAATTGCTGTAATCAGAAACATCGTAAAGGCCTTGTTTGTTAGTTGTCTACAATACTGTAAATGGTGAAATTGTAAAGGTATTTTTAGTTTATTTGTCTACAATGCTGGAATAGAAGACATCGCAAAGACATTGTTTGTGATATGCAGTATTATTAGTGACATTTACCTCAAAATTTCAAATTATACTTCTACAAGTAAAACAAAGGTTTTAACACTATATTATACAACATTTCACCAAAGGTAAAATTGAAAGGAGAATCTGTGACGGAGAGGCCTAATGTTTTCTTTGATTGGCCGTACCAATTGCTGTGGACTACAGTTTCGCCTATTGAAGGCTCATTTGCACAGCTTTGGGCTGGCATATCAATGAAATACGGTTAGGCCTCTTATGTGGCACAGATGACCTAGCAAAAAAGGATAAGTTAGAATAAACTAACACGTTTTCATGATTTACGCACAAAATAGCGATAACAAAATGTTAGTTTTATCTCAACTTTAGAATTAAGTTTAACTATAAGTTAGATGAATTTATCTGTAAACATTTTTTTTTTTTTATGTTTCATACATTAAATTATGTTACTTGCAGATATTCCAAGATTCGCGAAAAGTAAGACAAACCTAAATTTTTTCTTTTGGCAAATACTTTCAAGCATGTTGAAGCCAGAAATGGCCAGTGATTCGTGAAGGTCACCAAGGTAACTTATACCCACTTGTATCTCAAAATGAACAAAATCACATTATCTTATATTTAAAATTTCCAGGGAGAATCCCTTTGGACTCACCTAGATAACTTCATGTCTTCGCCACTAGTGGCGCACAGGATTGTATGTGTATATATATATATCGCTTTCTGACCAATGGCATCTTCGAACTTGTAAATCGTTAAGTTCTTCAAAATATTATTGTAACCAATTAATTGCTAAAATACGCCTGCTAAACTAATAAATTTAACAATTAGGTTATTATCCAGGCATGCATAAAAAGATCCTCTAGAAAAACAAAACATTGAATTTATTAATTATACCATTAAAGCGCCGAGAACTCCATATTCAAACGAAAACACCAACTATTTTTAAACAGTTTAACTAAGGTTGTTTAAGTCTCAGTTATGATAAAAGTAAAAATAAATTGAAAATAAACGAAAAATAATTGCACGAATTTTGACGAAAAATGCCTTATACAATAACTATGAAAGATGAGTACAGTTTATAACAAAAATAACACAAAGATTTTTTTTTCTTATAAGTCAATGATGAAACAGTAGCTGAAAGACGGGATATCGTTTGTTTGGTGTTTGTGTGTGTGTATGTTTATCATTTTTTACATTGTTCTTTCAGTGTTTCACATACAATTCAACAAAAAGCATTACCTCTTTAATTAAACAAAGCCGTTTCAATGACCTAAAATATAAAATGACTTTCAAAGATGTTCGCAGTGAATGGATACAATTAAGTTCTTAAGTACATAGGCTTGTTCGTGCTATGATGTAGCAAGCTGAGGCATGACTTCAAAAACTTGTTCGTACTATGATGTAGCAAGCTGAGGCATAACTTCAAAGGCTTGTTCGTGCTATGATGTAGCAAGTTGAGGCATGACTTCATAGACTTGTTCGTGCTATAATGTAGCAAGCTGAGGCATGACTTCAAAGGCTTGTTCGTGCTATAATGTAGCAAGCCGAGGTGTGACCTCAAAGGCTTGTTCGTGCTATAATGTAGCAAGCTGAGGCATGACTTCATAGGCTTGTTCGTGCTATAATGTAGCAAGCTGAGGCATGACTTCATAGGCTTGTTCGTGCTATAATGTAGCAAGCTGAGGCATGACTTCAAAATGATGTTTTAAGTAAAAAAGGTCGAATTTTACAAGAAATAACGAGTGCAAAATAATTCAGAACATATTATAAAAACAGTTAAGTAAGTTTTTTTTTTAAAATAATAGTATACTGGTGATCCTGTTTTGTCATTGCTCCATTTGTGTACATGTTTTAGGCAAGTACCGATAGATAAATATTTATATTCCAACAAGATACTGTTTTTTTAACAACAAATCTATTATATTTCTATATAAAAGAGTATTTTATATTGTGATCTCATAGAAAGTCCAGAACTTCTTATATATGACATTAGACTATCTTCGTAAGAAAGAGGAATAATTGTATTTTAGTCGAATGATTTTTCTATGTTATTTAGTGGCGAATGGCTGCACATACGAGCCACGGGACATATTATTCCTGATCGTTTGATAGTATAATGCCGTTACGCTTTTCTTATGGCTGGAGAAACATAAAATACCTTTCCATAAAAGTAACATTCATACACAGATATTGTTGAACAATGTGAACCTAAAGGATACAATAATAAATAAATAAATAACTTGGATATATGTACTAGTTTATTCTATGTAGATAATATTTTGGGGGGCCGTCTTAGGTTTAAGAAGAAGAATAGTCAACTATTCGAAAGCGTCCGAGTTTTGAAAATATTAGGTTTAAGGACAAAGCCTTATGTTCTTAAAGCAGAATGCATTTAGTGACAAAAATCGTTGAAATGGTGAAGATTTATATATTATAGCACGTGACAATAACGTGGGCAAACTAACTGTGATTGGCGAACGGTTTCTGTGTTGCTAAAGTGTGATGATATCAGCCGTTCAGAAAAGTTCTTTTCGAGATCTTGATCACGGTTTGAAACTCTTACGCTGCCGTCCCTAACGCCTGCATTTCTTCCGTGTGGGCTTGCAACCTGTTCCTGCGACTCCGTCGAGCATTTAATTTCTCCTTCAATCCCATTTCCATCCGAGCATGGTTCATAGCCTGACTGTTTTTAAAGTCTTCAACTTCCGCTTCGTGGCGCTTTCGTAGTTCATTAATCTTTCCTGTAAATAAAAAATAAAAAGGAGAGAAACTTACTAAACTATAAAAAAAAAAAAAAATAATAATAAATAAACGAAAAATAAAACTCACAATCTCGTACGATATTTCAAATTTTTCTGTTGTATGTGTATCATCTATATTTTTATCATGATTAATCAAACACCATATTTGAAAGGTTGAATAATTCAAATGTTTTAAAGCGTTTTCCACTCCTTACTGTATTGTATAAATATCCTGTTTCTTTCTCGTTTTTTTTAAAACTTGGGACGTTACTGTTTAAAACTTAACTGAAACTAAACGCTGTATTATAATTGTAATAAAAAAATGCTTACCAAATATTTCTTCATTAGATGGGGGAGGAGCTAGGTCATTTAACGGGACTGGTGTTGGAGCTGGTGGCATCGGTGGCTCAGGTGCAAGATAATTATTCTGGTGGGTTTAGAAATATACAACATATAATAAATACGTAGTTTCAAGGTTGATTCAGATAGAAAGAACGTTTTGTGCGTAAAAAGTTTCAAAAATCCCTTTCTTTTTTACTTTTGGAGGACCCCCTATGGTTTAGCGATAAGTCTGAAAGCTTATAACACTAAAAACCGGGTTTCGATATCCCTGATGGGCACAGCACATATAGCCCATTAACAATAAACGAGCGATTAAACTTTTCGAGGAAGTTTTTTTTTTGATGGTTTGAGCTGCTATTTGGTAAATCTAGGAATCTAGCAAGGAACTCTGAAACTGGAAAAGGATGAAAAGTTACATTCGATTTATTTTTTCATCAACAGCATGTTTCATGAAATACCTCTTGTTGTGATATATAGGTTAATTTGAAGACATATTACTGAAAACGTGATGCATGGCCAGGTGGTTAGGGCGCTCGACTCGCAATCTGAGGGTCGCGGGTTCGAATCTCCGTCCCACCAAACATGCTCGCCCTTTCAGCCGTGGGGGCGTTATAATG